TTACAAGACTAACTAATAATATAATTTGCACATCTTTACTTTTTTGAATCAATTTTAAATGATGCTTCGGATATCAAGTTCGGCTAAATTATGTAATTCTTGCAGGAATTAAAAGAGCACATCAATTTTTTCGCGCGAAGAATTTTCAATGTAGTACAATATGTAATTAATAGTATTGCTTCAATTTTAAAGCCTTATTAAAAACAACTGGGATCAAGCTTTTGAAGAACACGACGAGTATACATAACGCAAAAACTGGGCGGATATACTTGCCGATCATTTGTCGAGGACCTGGTCGTTTGATCGCGTGTTCGCGCATAACTCTGCATAACTTTGGCCAAACTTGTCGGGCGAAATCATCCGTCAGAAATCGTGCCGTAACCGATCATATATAACAAAACGACGATTTTCTTTATCGCCATTTTCAAAATGATGTACGCAGTTAAATTTGAATAAAAAAAAAACCGAAAACCGGATGAAGACCGGACGAAATATGGACAAAAAACGGATGAAAACCGGGCGAATATTGGTATTCGAATATACAATCACAAATAAACTGCGTACACCATTTTGAAAACGGCGATAAATAACTTGGTAATTTAAATATATTTAATATTATTTTAACAAAATTACATCAAATAAAAGTAATTAGTATGTTATATAGTATGAAAAAAAAGATTAACAATTTTATTTATTTATTTTACCTAAATAATTTACAATTGATTTCCCATGCCAAAATTTTAATAATTATAATATCATTTAACCTAAAGCTTTAACATACGAAATTATTATAGCTAAATTTTATTGGTTAAAAATTTTGAATTGTGATATGAAACCCGAATTTATAGTTTTGTAGTAAAAATAATATAGTGAAATCTGTTCCATAATACAGGTTTGTCATTATCGGAGTATTTAATGAATTAAATATGAAATTAATAAGTATCATAAAATTTATTGAATTTAATGCCATTAAATTGTGCCACAAAATTTAAATAAATTTTTGCTGCGAAATTAATGATAAGAAATTTAATAAATAATGTTAAATCACTATAAGTTTTCAATAATATTTCGATTTTTGCAATATATATATATATATATCACATTTTGGAATAATGTTAGCTTTGTGTTTAAATGATCTGTAGACCATTAAGACCTTTTCTTATGTCTTGTCGTGTGTCATTTGAATCTATTCAATTATTAATTAAGTGACTGAAATGGTAAATCGGAGCATTCAATTGTCTAATGAAAAATCTATTTTACTTATATAAAATGTTTATTTTTTTTAATTGGGACGCTAGTATTTTTGAATTTCACAACTTTGAACACCTGATAGACTATCACTTGACTAAATCCCTATGAAAAATAGAATATACAAAAAATACTTAATTATAAAATATATTTAAAATCTACTTAAAATTGTGTACTTAAAGTATATTTTAAAGTATATAATATTTTAAAGTATATAATAAATAATAAATTGAGTAAAAATCTACATTTGCCCAAAAAACAATTCTCTAACAAAAAACTCATTTCCCACCTGCATAGTAATTTTATGTGCATTATTAGAAAGTATGATTTAATAAACAAAAAACAAAATGAAAATTTTATATAGTCACAATACCCACGAATATTTATAAAAGTATTTTGATAGTTTTGTCAATTTTTTTTATACTTTTCAAAAATCAAAATATATAATTAATTCACATTTATCTAATTGTACACACAATATAGAAACTTTTACACTCAAACTGATTATAAACAAGTACTTTCATTTTTACACGAAAAAAATCCGAGAGATATTATTAATATTACTAAAGATTATTTTGGCTTAAAAGAAGAATCATTGTATAGTAAACCTCGCTCACACCTTATGTAATACTTTGTGTAATAAAAATACCGATAAATTGATAAATTAAAGTGGGCCAGAACTAAGATAATAAAAATTTGACATAATTTTGAATATATATAATAGTCATTGGGTAGGGGGGTTGAAATATCACCGAACTGCGAAGCAGTTCGGATGATATTCAACAACCATACCTAATAACTGTGTTGTTATTTGACTTAATGATAGCCAGTTATTTGATTATTGATGTCATTCTTTGCACTAGAAATTCAAGAAAGAAACAAGTACAATGATAAATTATAATGCCGCCGAATTAAAATTTCTTTCTGAATTTATTTATTATTAAATACGTGATTGCGGTCATTAATATGTTAATGTTTCACACTAACAATTACGATAAATACTTTTAGTTTAAAAAAATCAAGACCGGGCTTAAAAATAAATCCATTTTGCCTGATAGGACACGAGCAGTTTGGGAAATTAGGTGCATTTGTTATATTATTTATTATCCAATATTAGTAAAAATTGATGCGTTTATGATCACTTTACGCATTTAAATTCTTTATTAAGGAAAATTTAATTGATATAATTTAATGGGAAAATGTCATTGGCGACCCGTATCAGTGCGACCCTAAATCATTTGATCAAATTTGATTGGCTAACTAATATTTACAATTACGTCAGCCTTCAGTTATTTGTTATTATTTTCCCCCTTTTTTCGTTATTCTTTTTCCCTCCTTTTTTTGTTTCCTTTTCTCTTTATTTTCGCTTTACTTGTTTTATTTTTTGACTTTTTTTTCATTTTATTTCCCTTTTCTCTTTTTTGATTTTATTTTCCTTTCTTTTTTTCCTTCTTTTTCATTTTTTTTGGTATGTTTTTTCGTTCTTTCTTGCTATTTTTTGTTTTTCTTTTTTTATAGGTCTTTAGGTTCTTACAGTTTTACAATTAAGGTACGTCCTTTTTTTTCTTGCCTTTGTTTTTTAATTTGTTCTTTACTGACTCTCTATGCTGTTCTTTAACTCCTTCCTTTTCAACATTATGTGACGCGTTTTACTCTTAACTTCACAGGTTTTGTTATTATTTGTTCTTTAACTCACTTGTTTATAAGTTTCATTTTTTAACCTTATTATAGGCTTTTTTTCGCGTTGAGTATTTTTTCTTTTTTATTCTTTAGGTTCTTGTTTTCATTATTCTTTACTAACTATATTTTCTTTACTTTATGCCACTCTTTGACTTCGCAGGCTTTATTTTTCAATGTCATTGGTTTTGTTCTTTGATTTCATGAGTTTCATTATCATTTAATTCTTCAACTTTCTTCGTGGGTTTTGTTCTTCATCTCGATTTTGTTTTTTACTCTGTTGTTGTCATTTTTTTTTTGTGTATCAAAATTACTAGTTCTGTTAAAATTAAAATATAAATTTTACAATGTTTCTCTATTAGTAAACTTTAATAATTGATTTTTAACCATACAGTATATCATTATTTTATTGCGTAAATCAAAAACTTTTTGCGAATTAAAGTGTTGCGAATTTTTTAACGAAAATAAAAAAAGTTGTCCAATCAAATTATAGTATAAAATCACGTGATTAGGGTCGCCATGTCGCCATAAACTAACGCCCTAAATTAATTATTTACTTTTTTTTCTTTAATAAATTAAATTTTTATGTTTGGTTATTTGACAGGTTAAATACATTTAAAAGATAGTTTGTTTATTTGACAGGAAGAGTTTTAAAGATGTGTAAATATGTCTATATGTGTATTGTTTCAATAATTACACTAAAGTAAAACCTTCCTATGAATTAGTATTTAACAAATCTCGTTATTGTGGCCCTATAAAAAAAATTCTGTAAAACTCCGATAAATGATCATTTTTCTAGGGTTTATTCCGAAGAAACTCAGACACGTGATCATTTTCTGAAAAATTTTTTATAGGGTGAATAAACGAACATTAGTTATCAATTGGAGCGGTATCAAAATAACTTGACCTAATTACTGATTATATTTTTTATCGTGCATGATAGTCTTAATATTAGAAATATTTAGAAAATGAGCAGCAGATCAGCCGAGGACATCTGTCGCCTAATAGGACGGTACTCGGATACGAACTTAAAAAAAAAAATTCATTTCGGTTTTTTCCGATGAATATTATGCTATATTTAGAACTTTATGTAATAAATGACAGTCCACTAATGCACAAAATAAATACAATAAAATATAATGCTAAAATCTCTTTCCGATTTATTTAAATGCGCATTAATTTGTTGTCGCTATTGTTTCACACGAATTAATCTAATAGTTACAAAAAAAATATTAAGTTAAAGGGATCTTCCAAAAAGGAGGACTTGTGGGCTGTATTGACCCGGCGATATGTTTTATTGATTTTTTAGTTCAAAAACAAAAAAATAATTAAATAAAATAAAAATTAGTATCAAAATATTAAATTTGAAAATTGAATTAATAGGTGAACGCTACATTCATTAAACCTATGGCAAATCTTGATTTTAATATGATGCCAGCTGTAGGCATAAACATAATGGTGCCACTCAAACTGTTAAAAATGAATCTGTTCTTGACTTTCACGTGGAATAAAATCTTGGAGTTAGTGAACCAAAGGATTTTTGGTTTGAGATGAGACACTATCCAAATATTAATTATTTGGCATCAAACGATGAGGTCTACAATGGCAATTTTAACAGGCCTACTCTATTATCAAGGATCCATCGTAGTTACTTCAGGGATAACATATAAAAAGGAAAATAATTTAAAGAACATTTGTCACAAACGAATTAAGTTAAGTTCTTTATTAAGTACAACTTGCTTTGATTTAATAAAAAATATCGAAATAATATCTCATATATTTTTGTGAATTACAAATAACTTGGATTAACGAAAAGAAATTAATAGTACCGCGAACGCCAAAACGAATTTTTTTAAAAAACCCGATTCTATGTACGATTGGAAACTTATTTATTTCTTAAATTATACTCATATTTGTTCATATTTATCATGTAAAAGCCTTACTTATAGTCGTTATAGTCAAAATTTATTAACGATAAATTGAATATTCAATATAATTAATACTGTATGATTAATTATAATTATGATACATATACAGTATATTATTAGATATTTTTCCATTTTTACGACGGGATCATCGCCATCAATGGTGGTTTCTTCAACAGGATCTTTTTCAGTTTGTCAACAAGATCACTCTCATCAACAATTTCCTTGTTTTCCTTGTCTTTCTTACTTTGTTGTAGATCTCGATTAATCTCGTAACGCCTCTTTCATTTGGCTTTATTTTCTTCTGACAAGAGTTTCCATGAATCAGAAGCCGTTTTGCTTAATTCAGTCATTTTTAATTTTTTCTGTGCCTTTTCCCTCATATCATTACGAAACAAAAAAAAAGGGTTTGATTCTCGTTTTCTTTTTCTAATACTTTTAATGTTTCCGACTGAAAAGAATACTGCGCATAATTCCGCCATATTTGTGATTTCTCAAGAATAAATTAAATAAGGTTATTGTAGGAAAATGAATTATGAAAATATAATATATATTGGAAAATGAAATATATTACAAGCAGTTCTCGCGAAAATTTCAAGAGCATTAGAAAACCAACAAACTTTGAATAATCATTTATCATCATGCAACTTTATTTTTTTTACCAAAATCCGATATATTAAAATTTTAATTGGTAATGTTCCAAACCATTTAAGGGTGGAGTATGTGTCAATCATTTTTTATATGTATTGGATGTATTGGATGGTTAAATTTTTTGCCAATCATTTGTTATGCACGTAGCAGTCGTAGCAGTCGTAGCATTCGTAGCATTCGTAGCAAATATCAATAACCAATAAAATTCAAGATTGCCTATTCGCAAACTTATATATTCATATTCGCAACTTCATACGAAAGTTTTTTAAAAAATTTTTTAATAATTAAATTTTTTTAAAATTCTAAAATGAAGCTTGGGATTGTTTTACAAAAGTTATAAAATACATAAATTATTGTTACTATGTAAAAAAAATTTTAGCATGTCGATTAATATAAAATTATCACGTGATATACTGCCCTTAACGCCAATTTTTGGGGCTATAATTTTGTAGATTGTGGAGAATATCGGAGCTGCTTTTTAGCCAAATTAATTCCCATTCAACAAAATTTTTGAACGCATAATATCTGCATGTTGATTAAAATTTTCGCGTTAACGATTATCATAGCTTTCATAATTACAAAGTAAGTAATTATTGATGAAGAAAATTTACCTGGCGTTCGCGGGAGAATTCTTTTTACTTATTGAAATTTCTAAAATAACACTACTATAACTTTCTTTTATTTACTCAATAGTTCAGAACAATGAAAATATTTGATTAGTATTGTTTTCTCGAATTTTATTGCCAGATGGACTTATAGTGTGTAACAAAAAAAACCGGAATATCACTCATGTAATAAAAATGCGTATTATACGCTCAAAATAAATCTGATTTTCTTTGTGTAAATTGGAAAATAAACCTATGACCAAGATCTATATTATGATAACTTTAAAGTTATAATTGCTTCATTATTTTTTGAAAAATTTCGCTGTAAATATTTACAGGTAACAGAAAATATAATAAAAAAATAAATTAAGATTACAAAGCATTTGAATATTGAATTTAAATTAAAACATTTAAATATTATTAAGAATAACTAATGTAAAAAACGTTGATACCAAAAAATCAGCAGTATAGAAACATTTATGGTAGAATGATGAGAAATTTACTCTTCAAAATTCCTCAATTTCGGTATATAGTAAAAAAGCTAAAAAATTATTCAAATTACAAAAATGCGTGTAGTTCGCTCAAAATAAGTCCAATTTTTATCATTTAAAATGCAAAATAAACTTGAATATCAGGGCTATATTTTGACATCTTTCATGATCATAATGCTTTTTTACTTCTCGAGAAAATTAACTACAAGTGTTGGTTTTTGAAGAAAAAATATAATGTGTAATTTGTGAATTTATAATGAATACAAAGTCATTGAAAATTTCTCAAATATTATCAAGACCAATAGAAAAATCTAAATTAAAAAATTTTTTTTTGACTATCTGCTGCATTTTATGCAAAGATATACATTAATTTTAAATTAGTTATAAAAAGTTTTAATCTAAAAAAAATTATAATCAGTTCTTATAAGCTTAATTATAAAAAAATTACTGCATTAAACACCATTTTAATTTACTATTGATAAGATCTACAGGTTTTCAGCTTTTCGAATACATATAATTTGGTGCGATCATCATGGCGGTACAGAATTTTTTAATTCCGATTTTTTCTGTTACACTGCAAAGTTGGCGTGCATTAATTTATTTTGTCCAGACTCCAGAAATTGAAATAGATATGAAAAAAAGGAAGTTATTAAGCTATTACATTTTAAGTTCAAACAGATCATGTGAGTAATGCAGAAATTTATAATAAGCATTACTAAGAGGTTCTGCGTAAATAAAGATTTACTTCTAACTTTATTTGGATTAATTAAGTTGTGTCTGATTAAATAAGATGCGTTGAAATGTTTGAATAAAAAGAATTTACTATTGAAGTCACACAATATAAGATTTATTTTTACTAATGCAAACTTAAATTCTACAAATTGATTTTGTATTCATTTTATTATCTTTTTGATTGCATGTTATTTATTTACTAAACTTTTTTGAATAATCTCTTTATTTCTGTTGGTTAAAATGTTATTTTGCTGTTTTAAGTATATTTATTCAGAATTATTCAGAGATTGAACAATCATTATGATTTAATATTGTGAAATCTCATCAACACCACCAATATAAAAGAAATATTTAATGAAAAAAAATTCTTTTTCCTTATTTCTAAAATTGTGCAGTTCTATCAATCTGACATTCAAATAATCAAGGAATTTGGTTAGAGCAACAACCAACCAATTAGAACTATGGCGTTTCCATTTAATAGGTATTGATTAGTATCTAATCAGCCCTGTCGTTGAAGAAGAATTTTTTTCAGTAAGGGACACATAATGTCTGTTATAGCTCCGTCAGGAAGTGAAATGGATACACGACATGACACGCTTAATTATACTAGAAATTATATTCTCTTTATGGAAGTGCAAAAGTCAAAAATGACTTATAAAAAAGCACATTTATTAGCCAAATTCCTGATTAATATTTTTGTCGCGCATAATTTTCTTAACGCTAGAAAAATGAATTACTATTTATAATAATATCGAATATTTCAAGAATACTTGTTAAAATTATACAACACCCCTCTTTTTCATTTTTTAAAAAAAATTATTCGTATTTTTAATTCCATGATTTTAAGACTCTATCTCATGAGTTGCTTTGATAAAATAACATAAATTTCTTACCAAAGGAATATTTAGTATACGGCGTGTACCACTATTGTTGTACACCAGTATAATAGCCGACGGACTTCATCGTCAATTTTATTCTAAAAATAATATGCAAATGTATCAAATGTATCAAAGAAAATTTCAAATGAGTGAAAGAGTATTCCGAAACGCAAAGAAACTTGCTATTTTAGATGTGAATGTTATCCTGAATTCAGGATACGCGATTTTTTGAGAATTTTTTAATTTAGTCATATTAAATCAGTTCCATTATTCTTCACAGAATATTAGGCGTTAACTTTAAAAAAAAAAGAAAGTCAACTAACTATTTTGATAATATTATCACCGGTGATGGTACTCCGTGAACTATGGATATAATTGTGTCCTTGATCAAAAGCATGTTTCACTGATGAGATATTATTATTACGTGACAGATAATTAATTAATGGGAGTAAAATTTTACGCCTATTTTTATTTGTTTTACGAAATATTTTAAGTACATACGCAGTAATCAGTTATTAGTACATTATTTATATAAAGAGCCCTCAATCCATTTTTTTTAATAAAAAATTTGATAGAAATTTCAAATTATTAAGTTTTCTTGAAAATCAAGCACACCGTAAGTAAACTTCACGTTAAACATTTCGAGCAACCTATTCGTTAAATTGCATTACGAAATCGTATATAAACTCGCATTATATTTAAGTTTTAAATATGAACTCAAATTATTCAAATAACCAATTTTTTGGTTCTGATAACAACCTCTCATTCCAAATGAATCCTGAGCAAGCGGCAGCTGGTTCACTTCCTTATATGGATGTGCAGAATACTAGCATCAATCCAAGACAAATCTCCTGCTCTGTAAATTCTTCTATCGTACAAGACAATCTTGTGATTAACCAACTCGTTCATCCTATTAAATTTATTTATCGGCCACCAAATGATATTTATATCTATCATATCAAATGTGAAGAAATCTCAATTCAATTATTAAATGAAATTAGTAGTAACGTATCCAACATTAACTTCAATCAAAATGAATACTTCTTCTTTTATCAACAACAAAATGATAATCGAACTTATAAAGTGGTTTGTGAAATAGTCTCTCCCTCTTTTATTATTAATTTTTTAAATAAAACTATTTATGGAATTGAAATTGAACAAAATATTGGCGAAGAATTGATCTTCAAATTTGATCAAAAGGAAAATCTCAAATTTTATTTAACACAATATCTAAATCGTTTTTCATTTAATTAAATTTTAAAATTAAATTATCTATTAGTATGATTATAACGTTAAGTTTAAAATATAGTGAAATTAAGATTATTACCTTAACAAATCGATAATATGATCATTGAATTCATTACGAATTATAGAATATGTTATTAAGCGATTTATATGTTGAAATACTATTGATAGCTACTTTTAAAATTTAACTCGGTAGTTTATTTAAGTTTAAATGATATACTATTTTATCTAATAAAATCAATTAACTCTTTTTATAAAATCAATTTTCTATATTGATTATTTCAAAAATAATTTTAACATTGACGGTATTACTAATATAAGTCTTTCCGTTTGATAAGTAAATCATATAACTCATTATTTCGCGCTGTTTTATTTGAATTTTGATTCTTTAGTTTCGACTATTAATTTCTTATATACCAATCTTGAATTAAGATTTGCATTCAATCAGGAAAAAACTCTAAAATATTGATTAATACAGATTAAGTCACTATTTGAACCACTAGACAAACAAATATTTATAAATTATACGTCTAAGATCATCTCTTTTATAGTTTTATAGTTAGTGATTAAAATGATCATTATACATTGGCAGCTTTTGTATGGTTTACCAAGGACCCCGAAATAGGCTTAACTATTAGCTGTGAGGTAATATATTTTCACTGGAAATATAAAGAGATTACACGAATTTTTTTAATTTTAATTTTTGCAATTTTGCAATTTAGTTATTTACCAAATAAGTATGGCATGAAGTCAATCAGTGACGTCGACCCTATAAAAAATTTTTCAGAAAAATGATCACGTGCCCGAGTCAGGATTTTTTTTGTAGGGCAATTGTAAATCATGTGAAATTAATATTTCAGATCAAATCAGTTGTGCTTAACCCATGAAGGGCGGGCCACGAGCGTTATTAATTGAATAATTAATCAATGTACAGTATTTA